GCAACATTTCAAAGCATTCTGGTTAGCAGATTAAAAATTAAATTTCAAAATGTTGTTTTATAATTTTGATTTTTTTTCCAAAAATCTGGACGTTTCGGTTGAAAAGTCGATTCGGAGTTGTAAACTACATGTGTAGGACTATGTTATTTTATACAATTGAAAACCCATGTACTATGTACAATTTTGAAGTGACGTCATCGCATTAGTGGTGGGGATGATTAGACAAATTTTGGTTAGCGTTTTACCATCTACATGATATTCTTAATATAAGTACAAAATTTCACAACAATCGGTCGAGTACTTTCGGAGATTATCTGTCTAATAAAAATCCGGGACGGCAGACGGACAGACGGACAGACGCACAGACAGACGGAAATGGGAGACCTATTTCTTCGTCTTCTAGGGGTCATGAAAGATCGAGAAAACGTAAAAGTAGAGAGTCGGCCGACGGACTCGATTACAATACTTTCTTTGCTTACGCTCGGGAAGTAAAAATAAAATTTTATAATTTTTCTAAGAAATCGTAAACGTTCGACTGTACTTTATTGGCGAGAGAAGTTCTGTCGAAATAAAGTTCGACCATTTTTTTTTGTGCAGTCTTGAAAAGGACTCAAAGATATGTGTGAAACCTCACCGATATTGGGGGAAAATTTAATCATGCAAAACCTGTTTCCAGATAGTTTTCCTTGTTGCGCAGGAATAATCAATTAAACAAGTTCATCTTCTTAGATAAACCATAATCAGAATCCATTATTAACAGTTATCTAATAATCGTATGATTAACTGATTACTATTACTTATTTTTACTTCCCGAGCATAAGCGAAGGAAGTATTGTAATCGAGTCCGTCGACCGACTCTATTTCTACGTTTTCTCGACCTTTCATGACCAGTAGAGTACGAAGAAATAGGTCTCTCTTTTCCGTCTATCTGTCTGTCTGCCGTCACGGATTTTTATTAGAGAGATAATCTCCGAAAGTACTGGACCGATAGTTGTCAAATTTTGGCTTTATAGTAGGAAAATCATGTAGATGGAAAAACGCTAACCAAAATTTGTCTAATCATCCCCACCAACAACGTGATGACATCCCCGCAAAATTTTGTATAATTAATGTATCTTAAATATTATAAAATATTATACACCCACACTTGTGTTTTGTGAATCCACCCCAACTTTTTTTTTCCCCCTTCAAATCAGAAACAGCACATCCTAGTTTCACAATGTGACAATACAATAGTAGAATAGATAACTGTTATTGTGACACTGTAGTTTATCGATGTGCTTTACAACGCATTCATAATTTTCCATTATTATTGGTACAATACATAAATCAATGCACTGGATGTAAAAACAAAACTAAAGTACATATGATTCCTTAATGAATGCATAAAAAAGTCTCTCCCGGAAACTTTACAAGAATAACGTGCAGGTACTGCATCAGTTGCTTATCAGCAGAGTCATCGTCGCCGTTTCGCCGACATGTAGACGATTCGTCCAAATATACCTATAAACAAACGTGATGTCTATGCTGTAGCGAAATAAAGTGTGTTACATCACTGAATGTTGAATAAAAATGTGGTCTAGGGTTACTTATACATAACTTCCTTCGCCCTTGAAATACAGTCGAACAAATACAGAGTTTACCTTTGTCTAGATAATGCCAACGTGTTTGGCGAAACTCGTCGAAAATATTTTGTGTATTATCGGTGTTGTGGGAATAAACGTTCTATAAAATACAAAATGTTCGAAAAATTATAAAATTTAATTTGGCGAATTTTATTTTTACTTCCTGAGCGTAAGCAAAGAAAGTATTGTAATCGAGTCTATCGGGGGGGGGGGGGGCGACTGGCTGCTTTTATCTTTTCTCGACATTTCATGACCCATAGAGTATGAAAAATTAGGTCTCCTGGTTCAGTCTGTCTACCATCTGTTTAGATTTTTATTCGGCAGATAATCTCCAAAACTACCGGACCGATTGTATTTTATATGTATGTTAGGAATATCATGTAGATGGTAAAACGCTAACCAAAATTTGCCCAATCTCCCTATCAATATCATAATATGTCAAAAATGTTTATAATAAATTTTATAAAATAGCATACGCTTGCATTGGTTTTCCTGAATACAAATTCGCAAAATCTTTTTTTTTTTATTCTTCAAAGAAGCGGGTTTGTGGCACTGCACTTCGAGGGCAAGAGAAGTCCTGTCGAAATAACTTTCGACCAATTTTTTTAATATATACCCACTAAAATTTAAGAAAGTGGTTAACTACGAGGTTAGTGACGGTGTTACACGGCAAATTCTTAGTAATTTTTGTCACTTTGTTCTTATTAAAATCTTAAATCAAACTAATCGCGTTTTTTCATGAAGTTGTAGTTTTGTTTCAAGGTAATGAAGATCGACTTTACTAACAAAGTTAAAAAAGAAGATATAAGTTATGTATGTAATACTTGATTTCATTGTTTCTTAAAATGAATAAATATATGTAACTCACATTACTTCTTGAATATATATGCATGGTAGTTGGTAGACGGTGGAAGATAAAATTAGTTCAGCCACAAGTTTAGTGTACACTGTTTTCTTTGTCTTGAAGATTTAGATTAGGTTTGATTAAAAATCAAAACAAAATCATTTTGCGTCAAAAAATTACTATTATTTCTTTTGGAACACCAATATATCGTCATTCTCATTACTCATTACTGTTACTAGGATGCTTCGACCTCATATTTAACTTGCATTTGCCTCAGAGGTTTTGGATCACCATTAAGGTTTATTTTTTCAACTTATTGTCTTACAGTTTACGGTTTCTACTAGTGAAAAAATAATATTTTAGTGTTAATGTTGTGAGAAACGTTGATGCGGACAGATTCTGCGTTTCCGTAAAGGTGTATCTAGTAGGAGTTTAATTTAGGAAAAACTGCAGCTTAAGCAGATTCATTGGTACTCAAAGCTGAGATTATCAAACTAGAAAGCTTCTGTTATTTGATGTGGCAATATAAGGTGCTTTTTGGTGTGGCCTAAAAACCTAGGGTCTGTAGTATGCTGATGTTCTATACTTTGAATAATACTTTATTATTGCACTAATTAACTATTATTGAATTAATTATGAAGACATATTGGAGGAAATATAAAAATTTGCAACTACGTGAGCATCTACATTTAGGTATAATGTCTCAGATACTACAGGCTTATATGGCTATTGTAAAATTAGGGTATTGTGAAGACGACAATGGAGCAGTTAATAAGGCAGACCCCCAGTTGTAAATTGTGTTTGTGTTGGTTTAGAGTACCAAAAACGGATTACCCAGCAGTGGATATTGAAGTGGCAAGATATTGGGACAAATTTTTAATTTATGACGCTAGGATTAAGCCGGTAACCAGCCGCACAAAAGGAGTTATAATAACCCATTATTAATTTTAGTGGGGCCATATAACCTTGTAGTATCTGAGACACTATATTATAAATAATCTAGCATGTTTCTTCGGAATTGATCTCAATAATTTAAAGAAAATACCTGAATGAAATGAAATGAAATTGAACAAAATGTTCCTTTCTATAATGGTAACTTTAAATTTTCCTATTTAGTTCGAATTTTAAATATTCATTATTCATTGCTTTACAGTGTTGTCGTCCAGCTTTTGATTCTCGCATGTCTTTCGGATGGGTAGTGAAATTTTTTAAAATCGACTGTTCGGAAACTAAAAATTATGCTTCCCATCTGTAAAAATGGTTCCAATTTTAGCTGCCAGCTCTGTGTTATTTTGGATCCATAGGCTTTCTTGAGTTCTTTATAACATTTGATTATTGCAACCTTATTCCATGACCTCAATAAAATTTTTGTCACCTGTGACTTTTTCGATAAAATCCTAGTCGGTTCCATTCCTTTGTTGAATACGTAATTATTATGCCTTTTGGGAATTAAATAACAAATTCTTAACACAACAAATGTTTCAGATTTTCAATATTTGAAATGCCAAAATGACAGGAAGGCAAATATATAAATCCCTGTAGAGCAATCTTACCAACTTTTTTCAATTTTAAACAAAAATTTAGTGGGCGTGTGTTAAAAGATAGATAATAATAGGAGTAGTAAATATGAATTATTTAGTATTACGTGGCTAGCATTTTTTTTTAATTTTTAAGAACTAAATTAACATAAAAAGGACAAGAGTGGTTTTCAAAACATTTTTGAATTTTTTTGAATCACCACTTGGTATAGTCAAACTAGTAAAATATTTCTCTAGGCAAAAAATTTGCTCATAAAATTTTGTATTCTCTCATTAAACTAAAAGATCCTCATTCAACGAAATTTAATAAGAATTTTTAGTAAAATGGTTAACCTACCACACTGTCCATGTCCCAATGGCGCGCATTTTGACAAACCAAACCTGCGCAGCTAACCGAAGGATGTCGCACTCACACGTGTTTCATGTCTGACTTTAATAAACCAAAACTGCAAATTCAAAATACACGAAAATCCACACCGTCTGAAAAACTAATTTTTTGTTGCATCATTCGGCATGTGGTTCGATTTGTTAAAATGGACACAACGGTGAACGGGGCGAACTTGAATGTGTAACGTGTTTTGGAGTTGCATCAGAAAACCGACTTTCGCTAAATGCTTCAAATTTTGCATAGGTTACTACATATCGTAAAATGCACGCGAATTCAAGCAATTTGGCTATAATAGGTACGCCTCTGTCCATAGTTTTGCACTTGAAAAAATGTGGGAATAGTTTTTTCGGAACAATAAGATTTTCATATACTTATTTATTTAAATCTGGTTAGAACTTCGGTAGAATTTTTGATAAATATTGTACACATGTAATTTATAGCAAACGGCCTTTATCGTTTTAAACTTATTACATCATTGTTTAACATTCCTACTATCAACATCATAATACTTTGTACGTAGATACCACGTATAAACAAAGAAAATTATCCATTACCGTTCGAGTATAAGCAAGTTAAATAATGTTGCATGTAATGTAAGTACTCACCTAATTCTGCGTAACATAATGCGCCAATCATTGATAAAATTCCGGAAAGTATCCACACAATACACGCTTGTCCTACAGAACCAGAAAATTTTAACACTCCTTTTGGGGACACAAAAATTCCAGAGCCAATTATAACCCCCACGATTATAGCAACTCCATCAATTAAGGATAATTCTTTCTTCATTTTTACCTCGGAATTTTTGATGGACATATTTTCGTCACTCTTCTTCTTTTCTTTTGACATTGTTATTTGTGTTTACTAAATCACCAATCGACAATATTTTGAATATACCACCACTGACAGATTTTCAAAATGCAACACGTGTTCCTAACCTGTGTTTTAGTTTCCAACATCGCTCACCGCTTACAAATTCGAACGAACAACTTTTACTATCGTTGATGCGACGGTTTTGCGCCGGCTCAGACCTCGCATGTGGCAAACTACTATCGCGGTTACATCAGTTCTACAACATTCGTTTGAAACCTTCCGGAGTTTCATTGGCGTCGATTTTGTAGGGTTAATGGGAGCACATATTTTGGATATATTTGAATTACGAGGCACGAGTACTTTCTGTACTTGGGATAAATCCTCTGGTAATAAATACTAAAATACTACTTAGATTAATAAACACGAGGCTAAAGTTGTTTACACAGAACTTCCCTCACCCTGCAACACAATCAGTTCCGCCAGTGCTAGTGTTGTCAGTGAACAAGCCTGTCACAACTGGATATTTTCAAATTTAACATTCGTTAGTTTATTAGATATAAAACTCTTGTCGGTCCTTGTGCCCGACATACAGGGTGTTATTAAAAGGTACGTACAAGAAAATTGACAGTTCTTCGCGAAGTCTAAAAACCTGAAAAACTTAATTTGTGTTATCAAAATTATAAGGGGAAAATTAACCCCTATCCAACCTTTTTAGACGCTACTGAAGGATAAATATATATATATATATAATCTGTTACCCTCTTTTACCCATTGGGTGTCGAGGGGGGAGACGCACCGAGCCGCTCATATAGGTATGGCGATCTTAGCCACCCATCCACAAAGTGACTGCGGACAGCGTTGCTTCATGAGCATTTGAAGGATAAATAGGTAAAATTAATTTACTTTAATAAATCGTAGCAACTGTAACAATAATAAAAAATAGAAACGGAAGATGATCTTTTTATCAGAGGCGTACAACGAATTTGGACATAAATTTTAATAATTTTTATCTCTAAAACAAGAACACTTTTACCTGAACTTTTTTTTAATTTTAGCATCCATACTTTGAGACCAATTGCCGATTTTATTTTGTACATACCTTTCAATAACACGCTGTATAATGAAAATATTATTTATTTGTTCGTAGGTTAGTTCGTGATGATGGTAACACATTCTAGTACTGGACAAAGGGAATACTTTAAGTATGTATATGCATTTTACTTAAATGAATAATTATATTTAACTCGGAAATTACTATTTACAAAAGAGATATAGTTTACAGGAGAATAATTTGGTATAACAATAAATTTTAGTGTAGTTTAACATGCAAACATGTATGTATAATTAACAGAAATGAACTTCAGTATTAAGTCATTTTTAGAAAAATTCAAGAAAACGTTGGAACTATGAAACCAAATCTTTGAAAGCATAAAAAAACAAACATAAAAAATATAAAACAAAAATATAACATAACTCAAAATTGGTAAGGAACATCATAGTAGTTCATCAAACAACATAACTGTTCAACCAATAATTTCAATACAAATTAATCTTTAAAAATATAAAACTCAAAACGTTATCCATTCGAGATTACTAAGGGTGATTTATCATCAAAATTAAACTGAACTTTAAAAATATTAACAAAAAACAAAAATTTAAAATTTTATGAAATCATGCACATTTTTGGAGATATCAACACTTACCCCTTGTGTAATAACCAGTACGCGGGAATTTATCTCACCGCTGCAATCCCCCAGTTGAAATAAGGTGTGTTTTACGGCGAGAAGGGGGACGCCTTGATCTGGTCCACAAGGTCGTAACCAGTGCATCGCTAGGAGTGTTTACAGCTAGTAAAGAAACTACTTCTATATTACTATACTAGCTTTTCGCCCGCGGCTTCGCTCGCGTAGACGATTCGTTGTGTTGAGCATTATTGCTAAGTTTCAAGTAAAAAATGTGTTGAAGAGGATCAATACAAAATTTCAAGTAAAAATCGCCATAAAAATATTTTTCCTCATACAAACTTTGTCACCTCCTTTCATCTTCTTAGGGGTGGAATTTTGAAAAAATCTGAAATACATCTTTCATTATTTGTGTTGAAGAGCATTAATACCAAGTTCCCCTTAAAAATTTAAATTTACAGTAGAAATAGTTTTTCATACAAACTTCCCCACCACTTTTCACTTGAATCTCGGAAAATGCTTAAATACTGCTTCATTATTGTTGATATTATAGAAAACTACCCTTTTGCTAACTGTATTACCGACATAAGCTTGCGCATGTGCGCACTTGACAATGCAAGTTCAGTTGATGTACCACCAAGTTGCAATACACATTTCAATCGTTTCGTTCAGTTTTATTCACCTATAATTTCCAAACAATCAATTCCACTGGATAAAGCAAAACCTTGCTACAGGTTATGGGCCCAGGGTACTGCTGATTGTTTGGCCGCGTGTAAAAATAAGGTGAATCCGATATATCTCAGTGATAAAAACTTTTGTGTTCCGGCAACAAAATGGCAGCGTCCACGCTACCACCGATCGAAAAACTACTAGGGCGCGAAAACTTCAACTCATGGAAATTCGCAATGCAAACATATTTGGAGCATGAAGAGTTGTGGGAATGTGTTGAGGGTACGAACACTACGGCAAAACAAGTTGCAAAGGCTAAGGCCAAAATAATCCTGTCGATACACCCCATAAACTATGTCCACGTGCAAAATGCGAAGACCGCGAAAGAGGCATGGGAAAATTTAATCAAGGCCTTCGACGATAAAGGACTTACGCGAAGAGTTGGCCTGTTACGTACCTTAATCACAACTCAGTTGGAAAATTGTGATTCCGTAGAAGAATACGTTAACAAGATTATTTCAACAGGACATAAATTGACGAATATTGGTTTTGTTGTAAGTGATGAATGGCTCGGGACGTTATTACTTGCTGGATTGCCAGACCATTATCGCCCGATGATAATGGGACTAGAAAGCTCCGGTATCGCCATTACCAGTGACTCCATCAAGGTGAAACTATTACAAGAGGTCAAGGTCGATACAAGCAGTTCAAACAAAAATGGAGTAGCGTTCTTCGGAAACCACGCCGAAAAGAAGAACTATACTAAAAATGGGCCACGGTGTTTTGAATGTAATAAAATTGGTCATCTCGGGAAGAATTGTTTTAAACGAAAGGCTCGCCTGCAGAGAGAAAATGGCAAATCTTCCAACACGAAGGAAGCGAAATCCTTCTTAACAGTCTTGTCAACGGGAAACGATCATGTTGAAAAAAATGAATGGTATATCGACTCCGGCGCATCGGTCCATCTAACAAACGACAAAACATGGCTGACATCCGCAAGCAAACCTCCTTCATCCACGCAGGAAATTATAGTAGCCAATAAAAATCGTCTAAATGTCGATGCAGTGGGGGAGGTAAATTTGGACGTTTGTACCGGTGGTACACCTGACAAAATAAACGTAAAAGAGGTTATGTTTGTGCCAGATTTGACAACAAACTTGCTGTCTGTGAGCAAAATAACCAATAAGGGGCACAAGGTCTACTTTGAGAGCAGTAAGTGCAGTATATACGACAAAAACAACGCCCTCATCGCCAGTGCCACACTGAAGAATGGCATGTACAAACTGGATCGACCGAAAAATAAGGTGCACGGTGCTAACTTAGTATCGGTTGCTGACAATATACATCTATGGCATAGCAGACTAGGCCATCCGTCAACGGACAGCATGAACCGAATAAAAAACGGGGTCGTTACGGGAACGAATTTCAAAAATTCGCTGAGTGAACCTTGCGAGGTATGTGTGCAGGGCAAACAACACCGTCTACCATTTAAGCCACATGTCAAGAACTCAAGCCGACCCTTGGAACTAATCCATTCAGACCTATGTGGTCCTATGGAGGAAAATTCATTGGGAGGATCAAAATACTTTCTCACTTTTGTGGACGACTTCACCCACAAAGTATTTGTTTACTTCCTAAGAAACAAATCAGAAGTACACGATGTTTTCCAAGAATTCAAGAATATGGTAGAAAATCAGACGGGAAATAGGGTCAAGACTCTGAGGACTGACAATGGAACTGAATATGTCAACAACAGGTTGCTCAAGCTGCTGAAATTGTCTGGTATTTGTCACCAAACAACGATTCCACATACGCCCGAACAAAATGGAGTTGCAGAGCGGATGAACCGCACCATCATAGAAAAAACGCGTTGCTTATTAATTGGTGCCAATTTGAAGAAAAGGTTTTGGGCAGAAGCCGTAAATACAGCTGTCCACTTGATCAACAGAGCACCGACAAGAACATTGAAAGATGTCACACCAAATGAAGCTTACACAGGTAAGAAACCTGATCTATCCTATTTAAAAGTGTTTGGTTGTAGGGCATTTGTTCACGTGCCTAAACAACAACGCAGAAAATTGGACCCGAAGTCAGAAGAATGCATTCATGTGGGCTATGCAAATGGTTCGAAAGGCTACCGGCTCTATCACATAAGAAAACAGAAAATTGTGGAGGCTAGAGATGTTGTATTTTTTGAAAAAGAACTTCCAAAGGCATCGCAATGTGAAAACAATGATTGGTTGTTTTACCCAATCACCGATGAAACGAACCTCCATGATCATACCGAAGAAAGTGAAGAGTGTGAGATCGAAGAAACTCAAGCAGACGAAATTGATGAACAAGAAATTGAAGAAATTCAGGTTGAATGTAATGTCCATGAAATTGAAACCAATGATGATGTTGAGCAAGTCGAAAACACCGAAAGAGAAGAACCCGCTATAAGAAAATCAAGTAGGGAAAGAAAAGCAAAGGAATTTTCTGAATATATTTGCTACCATGTTCAGTCGTTGACGAGGGAGCCCAAAAATGTTGAAGAAGCTGTTTCGAGTCCTGAGTGTACAAGATGGCTTGAAGCAATGCAAGCTGAATACGATGCACTCATTGAAAACAAAACATGGACTCTCACAGATTTGCCAACCAATGCTAAAGTGATTGACAGCAAATGGGTATTTAAAACAAAATTAGATCAAGACGGGAACATAGATCGATTTAAAGCCAGACTTGTAGTGAAAGGTTGTTGTCAACATAAGGGGATAGATTATCAAGAAACCTATTCACCTGTGGTACGATACAATTCGATTAGATTGATCTTAGGGCTTGCAGTCAAGTATGACCTTGACATTGATCATATGGACGCAGTGACTGCGTTCTTGCAAGGAGA